GGATATCGATGAGCCTGAGACTCAAGAAAATAAGGAACTATCAATAAACCCAATCGATATTGAGACAGATTTGAATCGATTGAATATAGTTGTGGATTATGTATTTGCATATAATGTTGCATCTAGCATTATGCAAGATAATGAGAATCTTGAACCTCAATTCGTTGGAGAATGTCGACAAAGACGTGATTGGCCAAAATGGCAAGAAGCAATCCAATCTGAGTTAAATTCACTTGCGAAACGTGAAGTTTTTAGGTCTGTAGTCCAAACACCTAATGGTGTTAAACCTGTTGGCTATAAATGGGTCTTTGTACGTAAAAGGAATGAGAAAAATGAGGTACAAAGATATAAGGCACGCCTTGTTGCACAAGGATTTTCACAAATGCCTGGTGTCGATTATGAAGAGACGTATTCTCCTGTTATGGATACTATAACGTTTCGTTATCTCATTAGTCTTGTTGTCCATAAAAAGCTTGACATACATTTAATGGATGTGGTTACAGCCTACCTTTACGGCTCACTTGATAATGAGATATACATGAAAATTCCTGATGGATTTAAAATGCCTGACGCACATAATTCAAAGTCCAGGGAAATATTTTTAATCAAATTGCAAAGATCTTTATATGGTCTAAAGCAATCAGGAAGAATGTGGTATAACCGCCTTAGTGAATATTTATTAAAGGAAGGTTATATAAATGATGTCATTTGTCTATGTATTTTTATAAAGAAAATAACATCGGAGTTTGTTTTACTTGCCGTATATGTTGATGACATAAACCTTATTGGAACTCCTGCAGAACTCCAAAAGGAAATTGATTATTTAAAGAAGGAATTCGAGATGAAAGATCTCGGAAAGACAAAATTATGTCTCGGTTTGCAAATTGAATATTTGGCAAACAGGATTTTTATTTATCAATCTGCCTACATAGAAAAGGTATTGAAACGGTTTTATATGGATGGAGCACATCCATTAAGTACTCCGATGGTTGTTCGATCACTTGATGTGAATAAGGACCTGTTCCGACCTCGAGAAAAGAACGAAGAGCTTCTTGGTCCTGAAGTACCATATCTTAGTGCAATTGGTGCACTAATGTATCTTGTTAACACTACAAGGCTTGACATAACTTTTTTAGTTAATGTCTTAGCAAGATATAGCTTTGTTCCTACAAGGAGACATTGGAATGGAATCAAATACATATTGCGGTATCTAAAAGGGACTACCGATATGGGCTTATTTTAGGCAATGATTGCAGTCCCGATCTTGTTGGTTATGCTGATGCTGGGTATTTATCTGTCCCACATAAAGCTCAATCTCAAACAGGCTATGTGTTTACATGTGGAGGCACTGCAATATCTTGGCGATCGACTAAGCAATCAATCATGGCTATTTCATCTAATCATGCTGAGATAATTGCTATTCACGAAGCAAGTCGAGAATGTGTATGGTTGAGGTCTGTAATACACCTAATTCGAGACAAATGTGATTTGAAGTGTGACAAACTACCCACATTTTTGTATGAAGACAATGCATCATGCATAGCTCAATTGAATGGAGGATTCATAAAAGGATATAGAACAAAACACATTTCACCAAAGTTATTTTTCACACATGATCTTCAAAAGAATGGTGATATCAGTGTGCAACAGATCCGTTCAAGTGATAATATGGCTGATTTGTTTACCAAATCTCTACCGACGTCAACCTTCAAGAAACTAGTATACAAGATTGGGATGTGAAGGCTCAAGGATGTGAACTGATGCTCTCATCAGGGAGAGTTAATACGCGGTGTACTCTTTTTTCCTTACAAGGTTTTGTCCCACTGGATTTTCCTTGCAAGGTTTTTAATGAGGCAACCAAAAAGCGTATTCCTAAACATGTGTACTCTTTTTCCTTCACTAGGATTTTTTTTTTCTAATAAGGTTTTAACGAGACACATTATTTATGAACATCCAAGGGAGAGTGTTATAAAAAATATCAAATTATGGTGGATGTCTACTCTTCCTCCATGATATTCATCTCAAATGCTTAATGACATATTTAATGACATATTTTCTTCACTTTTCATGCCTATATAAAGGCCTTGTAATAGATAGGAAAATACACATATTTGAAGAAGAAATAAGAATCTCTTCTATATATCTCTTAGCTTATTTTTTCTTGTTCCATATTATTATTTTGAGTTATATTTTATAACATAAACATACTTTTTCACACTTTTCAAAATAAATTAGATTTTAAAAGTTTGGCCAAATAAACTATCGTCGAAGTTTATCCATTCAAATGGGCTCAAAATATTGTTGTGACTTGTGAGTAGAAATGGTGTCCATTGTCCCCTTTTCGGTTTGTCTTTAAGAAATAGCCATTGTCATGAAAACTTTTTCCCTTTTTTTTATTCGTGAAAATACATTGCGAATTGATATAAGAAAACGTGCACAAATGTATACTTCCATTTTCTTCCACTTAGCCAATAAAAATGCGTTTTGCTATTGTAGCCCAAAATAACATAGCAACCACTATCTATCAAACAGACGCAATCTTTTTCTTCGCTCAATTCCTTCTCCCCCTGATGATTTTCTCTCTCAACTTTTCATATACCAGGCAAAGTTCCAAAAACATCGACAATAAATTTAACTTATTATTTATTTTTCTTACATAAATTATACTCTCTCCGTCTTAATTTATATGAAAGTGTTTGACTGGACATGGAATTTATGAAATTAAGGAAGGCTTTTGAAATTTGTAATCTTAAATAAATCATAGAAATTTGTGGGCTAGAAATCATCTCATTAATGGTAAAAAGAAAAATCTAAAGTTGAATTGTTACCAAATATAGAAAGGGACTTACTAAAAAAAAAGGAGTCACTTAAGTTGGGACGGAGGAAGTATGTTTTCTGGGATTCTCTCATTTCAGTTGTGATGCAATCAACGTCAAATTCATTTAATTTTCTGTATTTTATAAAACTAAATTCTCATTTTTTTTAATTTCACATCCTCACTTGTCTAAGTTTTAAAAAAATGATGTTTATTAAATAGTGTGTGTGTGTGTGTATATATATATATATATATATATATATATTAAGGCTTCTTATTAAGACTTTGTTTTAGGCCTCGGATGATGTTGGGCCGTCCCAGATACCATGCAAAGTTCCAAAAACATCGACAATAGCTACAAAAAAAAAGGGATCAAAAATACTATATTTTCTTTTATCCTCTTCATATTCACTTCAGACACGTTTTCTTTTTAAAAAAAAAAATGTTCTTCAATAATCTTATTTGATTATAATGTTCTCATATACAATCATACTCCGAAACCAGCAAACCAACAAAAGAAAAGGTGCAGCGCCAAACCAGAAATTTATGCACAAGATGAAAGAGGAAAGTTAATTTGTATATTTAGTTATTGGTCCAATCCCGTTAAATTATAGTTTCTTTAATGTTAACCTAGAGAAAAGTTAATTAGCATATTCAGTTTTTCGGATTATAATTTCACAAGTAGTCAAATGACAAGTTTTAAAATTGAATTTAAGGTCCTAAATGTTGGGAAAATCCTTAAAATTATAATTTTAACTAACATTTACTGTTTCTTTAAAAAGATATTTTAGATTTAATAAAGGGCATAAAAGTTGATCAATGTTTTACAGATATTTTTGTGGTTTAGCATTTCACTTTGACATTCATGTTTTTATAATAAAGTTCAATAAAAAAATATAAGTTCCTGACAAAGATGATTGTTGATCGCAATTCTTTTAGCTAATTCGATAAAGGAAGAAACTATCTCTTATATAAGTCATCAATCATGTCAATCAATTTATTCAACTTAAAATTCATTCCAGTTTATAATTATATCAATTTCACAAGTTATCATACTTCTTTTTAGTTTTAGCTAAAATACAGAACCCTTAAATTTCCGATTACAAAATTAGATAAAAATCTTGATTAATTTTAAAGTTCTAAATATTAGGAAGATATTTAATTTATCAAAATAAAAAATTTACTTAATTTTAAATTCTTAAATATTATGAGTTCTTATCTAATTCAAATAAGAAAAGATTTAATGGCCAAACCTGTATTAATTTCTAAATTTAAAAAATTTAAATAACGTTTTTATCCGATGTGAAATTTATTTTTTAATGGGTAAAAAATTCGAGCAACGCATCATGCCAATAACCACCACAAACCACTTCCACTAATAGTTACTACTATCGACCACCTATATCTCCAAATTCGACTGGACAACCGTCACCACTAGCTACAACCACCACCCGTCGCCACTGGATAACCACCGTCACCAATCTCTTTTGTAAAACTATCACCACCACCGGCCACCAATTTATAAATATCATGGCCGACCATTACCACCACCGCCCGCTATTACCTCTAGCTTTTATAGCGTGATTCATCAAATAAATAAAACAATTCATATAGAATAATATAAATTAATATTTTCTCTAATATTTTATTGATATATTGTTTACTAGTAATTTAATTTATTTGAATTCTATTTTTGTGAATACCTAATTTTTGTATTTTTTAACACCTCCTAAAGTCATTAGTGTTTTGTTACTTTAATTATATTCCCCAATTTTTGTGTCTTTGATTGCATATTTCCTATCATAAAAATACCAAAAAATAGTTCTTTCTTTATTTGTGCATTTTAGGAATTAACTAAATATTCAATTGGTGAATTAATATAGTTAATTGATCATTTGAATAAGTTACTTAATTAATTTTTTTGTTTGTGTAAATTTAGTTTAATAAGTAGGATTAAGAAAGAAATTGGGCCAAATTTGAAAGAGAAAGTGGCCAAAAGTACAAGATAAGGTGATGCCCTTGAAAGGGTCCGAAACGACGTAGTTTTGCCTCAAACCTACGTCGTTTCATTAAGTGACCCAAGATCAAATCTTACCCATTGATCATCCCTTGATCTAATGGTCCATATTTGATCGCTCAAGAGGTATTTAAAGCATCAAAAATCTGAAAAATTTCCTCATTTCCCCATAATTCTTTCTCTCTTCTCTCTCTCTCTTCTCTCTCTTCTCTCCGCCGCCGCCGCCGGAAATAACCCACCGGCAGCGGCCAACCTCCAAACACCACCAAATTCACACCATGTAATCTCTACAACCTCCTCTTTCCATATCTCCAAATCAAATCCTTCAAAAACCCCTCAAACGCCTTGAATTTTAGATCTATAAAACTTTAGCCGCCATTTTTTTGCCCAAAATCTTGAAGTTCCGGCCACTACCACCCCACAATACCTATACCAACGGATAGAGATCATCAAGACCTACCTATTGATGTCAATTCCCTCCCGAAAATTCGGCAACTAAAAATCTGGCCAAATTCCGGCGACCACCCCGAACACCCTCGTTTGGTATACCCCTATTCTCATTTTCTTTGTCTATTTTTTCTAATTGTATTGTATTTAGTTTATGTCTAGCATAATTTCTGATTTTTTTTATGTCTAGCATAATTTCTGATTTTTTTATGTATTTATTTTTATTATTATTTATATTTTTATTATTAGTTGTGTTTAATCTATGTTAGCTTAGTTGTTCATAGTTATTAATTACTGATAATTAGTTATTCATTAGTTTTGAAATAGCTATTTGCTTAGTCATGATAGTTTATGATAGAAGTTTCAAGTGCTTAGTGAATTTATTTTTATTGGATTTGAGTATTTGAATTTTTGTGTTGATAAAAGCTGAAATTAAAGAAGGAATAGTATAAATTTAGTTATTTTTTACTGTGCAAAGACATTTGGAGTGCAAAACTTAAAAGTCATTATGTGGTGACAAGTACAATACTTTTTGACAGCTTTTGAACAGTGTTTAGCACACAAAGTCAGTCTTTTGGACAGACTTTTGGTGAACCAAAATCTGTCCAAAAAATCTGATTTATTTGCCTATTTAAAGGGCTCTTTACTCACTGAAAAGGAGGGGACACTCTATTACACACTCTATCTTATACGGAGACACATCTTGGAGAGTTGCTAAAAGACATATATCTTTGAGAAAAATCAACAGCTTAATACATATAACAAGCTGAAATTTCAGAGTTTTGTGAGGATTATTTGAGTACAAAAATATCAAGAAAAATAGAAAGTTCCCTTAAGCAATTTGTAAAGTTGATAGCTACGAGTTTCAAGCATCTTTGTTGAGTTTTCTGGGTTGTCTTAACATTTGAGTTGCTGTTGTTTCTACTGTATTTGCTGCTGAGTTTTTTGTTGCTGCACTGCTGTATTTTATTATTCTACAAACCAGGTAACTTTTAAATTCTTATCTTGCAGATTCTTGATGATAATAAGAAGGATTTGATCCCGATTTGGTTGATGGAACATATTAGATCTGATTTTGTTTCAAGATGAATGTTATATTAGTGTTATCATCATGTAAATCTGTTAAAAATTAGTTAAATTATCGTTTTCTTCTTTATATATGTGATTGAAATTGCATTCTGTTAAGATTACTTAGTTTAAGGAAAAGATAAAGACCCCACTTTTAACCATGTTTGTTTAGTTTGGGCTCTTTTTCGTGAGTTACTTTCATGGTTCATGTATAATTATCTAAGAAAGACTTCTAGCTTCAAATGTTTTGATGCTTTGAATTATAGTCAACATAATGTTATACTTAATATAGTTCTTCTCTTTAGCATTGAAGTATTACCGTTTTTTGTAGTTTTTATATTTAGTCGTGGTTTTTATGTTGTTAATGAGTGTAGCTTGATTAGTGCCATGATTGGTATAGATGAGTAGAAATATTATGTTAGTCCTTAAGAAATAGTTGGTTAAGAAGATAAAAGATAATAATTAGCATGTAAGTTTCTTTTATGAAAAAAATAATTTTTAGTTTGGACATCAATGTAAGAAACAATTTAGGCTTAGAAGAATACTTGTTATTTTGTGTTGCCTTGGTCATCGAGGCTCTTAAGCAACATGGGCCAAGTAAGCTAAAATTTATAGGCCCAATGACAATAGAAAGTAAGATGAGCATTTTCTTTAAAATCAATAAATTATCTTTTGTTAAATAAAATAAGTGGCCCAATACCATAAAAGTTTAACATAAGCTTACCCGGGTTTAATGTCTTGCATTAGTGAAAATTATTTTTAATAATAATAATTTTTTTTTCAGTCGAACAAGTAATAAATAAAAAAGAAGCACTTTTTAATTAATTTAAGTGATAGGCAATTTTAGGCACGTTTGAGATGTAGACCATGTGTTCATACACGGTCCTTGGTCGATATTTATTTTTTTTAATAAAGTAGTCATGTGTGCATTCCCGCTCCTTGACTTTTCAATATTAATTGTATTTAAACCATGTGTACCGACACGTTCTTTGTTTTAATACATATAATCAAATAAGGACTTTGTGTGCTTGCACGCTCCTAGGCCAAAATTATTAATTATTAAGCAGCACTAGACAATAGTAACTTAAGGCAAATAATACACACTTTATCCAAAAATAATTCAAATCAAATTTTAGTCAATAAAAGCGACCGTGCTAGAACCACGGGATTCGGGGAATGCCTTACACCTTCTCCCCGGTTAACAGAATTCCTTACCCGGACTTTATTTTCGCAGACCAATAATAATAGAGTCAAATCTTCCTTTGATTAGGGATTCAAATAAAATGTGACTTGGAACACTAACAAAATCAATTCCAAGTGGCGACTCTGTAAATAAAATAATCCCTACTTAATTTTGTCACTTTAATTGGAAAAACTCTTTAATCCACACAATATTATTTTGCGGGTAGAAAAAGGGGTGTGACAATATTTATGTAGTTTTTAAATAGAGACAAATTCAACATTCATGAAAAATTAACAGTCTTAATTATTCTATAATCAGACATAAATGTATTATCTTAATATTCATATGTATATATAGACTAAGAAAACTTAAATTTGATATATAAAAAAGGGGCCAAACATGCACTACCAAAAGAGATAAATTTTGGCAATCAAAAAAATGCTACACACTGTAGAAGCTTACTACGCAGGTGTAGCTTCCCTCTCGTTCTTTTTCCATTTTTAACTTCCAATTTCTTTAGTTCGTCAAAGATCATAATGGAAGTAAATAATTTCTGTTTACACAAGTCTAAACCCTAGATCAGTAATTAGTTAGAATTTATATTTAGCCACTTTTAGCACCCTATAAACAAGTTTCTCCCCATGGAACGGCGGCTTTTTAAAATTAGTGAAAAGTAAAATTTTTATAAAAGACCTTATACTTTTTTTTATTAGAATCACATGCTTATACACACACAGGCAAAAAAGTTAATGTTGCTATTTCTTTCGCACTTATTGTTTATAATGTAATATTTTTAAATGATATAAGCCTTTTAACTTCACATAGTAATATTATTATTTATATTAGTAAGGATAATTTAAAAAAATATGTTAGACATGTATTTACAATATGTTACCTTTAATATTAATTATTGTAAAATAAAATTTACTAATATGAAGATTTAAGTAGTTTAATTCAAAGTTCTAACAAAAATTTACTTAAAGAATAGGTAGTCTTTCTTTCTTTCTTTTTTACAAATTTTTTGTACTTCTTTAATTTTGCTGCAAACCTTAATATTGTCTAAACTTGAAAAAAAATCACAAGATCCACTATTAAATTTTTTTGAGGCCTCAGATTTTGAGGGCCTAAATCAAGGCTTTACTCGCCTCCCCTTTGAGCCACATGTCCATCCCTGACATTCCCGATCAAATTTGATAGTGACTTAATTAAGACAAGTCAACAATGACAAGTTAAGAACAGTTAAGGTAGTGGATGTATCATTCAATTAGCAAATATGAATGAAACTGATTGAACAGCACGTTCGTGGAACAATGGTCTCAATAAAATTGGTGGCCAAAAACTAAAATATATTAAAAGACTCTTAAGTTTCTTTCATAAAATTTATATAATAATGACACATAAAAGCCAATATTGTTTTGACTTAGTAGTGAGAGCGCAACACATGATGTGTTGTTAGGCACACGTCATGGTATTGAACTCTCCCCTATTCAAAAATATTATATTAAGTAAGAATGATAAATGGGTGATCCCATTATTCATCGAGTTTTGAATTCTTTAGTTAAAAAAGATATACACAAAAGAACTTGCTTTCTGATATATGGATATTGGATCAATAAAATGTGACAAAAAATAAGCTAATTTAGAGAATCTGAATTGAAATTAGAAAGTAAAATTGTGATAAACATGAAAAAAGACTATACATAGAGGAAGAAAGAATTGATGAGAAGGTAAATATATTATTTGATTTAACGAGAGAAAAAATTATTGTATTAATTCAGTTAATCCTAGCTCTACCAAATTAAAAAAAAAAGTTAACATTTCAAATCTTTTATTAATAATTATATAAATATAAATGATCTATATTATATATTAATATAGTAATACTTTATATTATTTTGGGATTTTAAGTATTTGGGGCCTCCTTACCCTAGAGCCGTCCTTTGTCTCCATGGAGCATGAAACTCCTAAACCGGTACTAATTTGTTCTTTTCTCCATTATTATTATTATACACCATCAAATTTTAGCCATGTTATTTAATTTGTGCAGTTCTACATAGTTTCCTTCTTCCTAGTTCAGTAGGTAAACTAGTTTATATTCTTCTTCTTTTGTTGCAGGATTGTATACTACAAATAAAGGCCATTGGTTGTTGCAATGTCTGTGCCAAAAAAGTGAGGAAAAGAATTCTTCGACTGGAAGGTACTAGCTTTTTGTTCTGGGCTTGTAGTACTATTCGTATTTTAGAAAATAAGTATAAACTGCATATATATATANGCTCTTGCTTGTCCAATAGCTAATGAAGTTCTTTCTATGTCGTTTGTCAAAATGATTGTTTGAAGACCTTTGGATAATAAAGCTACAGCCAGTAGATGAGTACAACAAACTCGTTCACCATATTATAGAGAAAAACAACTCTTTGCTGTGCTTTCTCATTTTTCCTTTTCGGGTTGCTGTTGAAAATAAACTTTGAGTTTTACAAGGTATCCCAAGGGGTGGGGTTGTTTTTCTCTTTTAAGATTAAAATGTAGGAATCTAAACACATGAAGAAAAAGCGAAAAGTAAAGGGGATTCAATGTCTACTCTATATACATAAAAAGTAATTTTAACCATATATAAGAGGATTCGGATGAATCATTCTCGCCTCTTAGCTTTGCTCCTACTGTGATGGTGGAGGTAATTGGTGGTAGTGACTAGTGCTAGTGATTACTGATAGAGACGGATCTAGGATTTAAAGATTCTGGATAAATTATGTCAGTATTTACTCGGCCTAGATAAAGTAAATGTTTTGTTAGTTTGAGCACCTCTGGACTTCGATTCGGATTACTTGCCTTAACTACTTAGTGATTTGAGGCTTGAACCAGACATGAAAAAATACAAACAAATGAGGCCTAAAAGACATAAAATGTAGTACATATTTTATTATTTTATAATGTGGTTGAGTTTTCGTCTTCAATAACACATGTGACCGACCATCTATTTTGGCTTTTATTCTCATATGGATGCATGTAGTTTGCAACTCCAGTCATGATCGATCATCTTTATTGACTCTTGGAGTTTTTGTTTTATGGACAGGTGTCTATTCAGTTGAGATGGATAGAGAAAGGAGATGGGTAAAAATAGCAGGCAATGTAGAGTCAGTCATGGACTACTTTACTCGAAGATCAGGAAAACTTACAAATGCAAAAGTCATATTCTATTGTTCCAAAGAGGCAAAAACTGATGTTAAATATCATGGCAAGAAGAATCAAAGAGATGAGTACACTCATGAAAATACTCCAATGGAAAATCAAGCCGAAAACAACTTGCCCAAGGAAACTCAAAACCCTTATAACGAATATCATTGTCACCAGAAGAATATTCCTAAAAACAATTGTCCAATGCAGAATAATTCCAGTGATACTCGAGAAAGGAATTACTACAAAAGAGAAGGTGAAAATTGCAATCAAGATTCTTCTACTCATACAACGGGTGATCATTATGCACCACGTAAAGATTGGGTCCATAGAGTTGAAAATTACGTACCACCGCCACCTAAAGAAGATCAATATCGATCTGTACGTGTTGACGATCGTGAATGCAAGTGTGAATTTCATGCTTGGAAGAGACAAGGAAGTAGTAGTAGCAGTGGTCGATTTGTTTTTGATCATAGGGTACCAAGGGCCGACATGCGTTCCGCCAGTGCGCGGTGGTTCAGGGAGGAGCCGCCTTTTATGCCGCTACCTCGGCCGCCGCTGGGACCATTTGCTTCTAGATGATTTACCTATTGACACGACCTCGAAAAACCAAAGAAACTGCTCTTAGAAACTGACGAATCACGCACAACAATCCGTACTCCACTACTGCTCGAAATTACGTCAATGCTAGGCATGCTGTTGAAATTATGTGTTTGCTTTTTGCTTTCATCTTGTTGCACATTTTGATAGCCCAAGTATAGTCGAATGTGATGCCAAAGAAATTGTGCTTTCTTGTAACTCCTCGAGTGAAAATTTACAAAGTTTAGAGTAATTTTAGAAGATTGTTGTTTCTTCCTAAAGAGAAATCCCGATATTTATCTGGCTTGTATTAATTGGCAAGTAAATTTAGTTGCCCTTTGCTTGGCAAGATAGTCTAGAAATTATGATAGTACTTTTTATGGGGAACATGCTCCTAGTTTTACTGCAAACTTCTTGGTTTCTAAATTAGTTTAGTAAAATTCTTTGTTATATATATATATATATATATAGAGAGAGAGAGAGAGAGAGA